CACATGCCGCAGAGCAACTGAGCCTGCGCTCTGGAGCCTGCGGGCCACAACTGCTGAGCCTGCCAGCCACGGCTGCTGGGGCCCGCGCACCTGGAGCCCGTGCTCTGCAACAAGAGAAGCCACGACAATAAGAGGCCCACACACAGCAACAGAGACCCAACACAGCCAAAAATAAAAACAGGTAGATAAGTAAATTTATAAAAAAAAAAAAAAAGAAAAGAAAAAGAAAAAGAATGTCTGCTCTTGCTACTCCTATTCAAAATCATACTGGAGTCCCATCCAGTGCAATCAGGCAAGAAAAATGAATAAAACACATACAGATTGGAAAGGAAGAAGTAAAACCGTCTCTGTTCACATCTGACTCTGTGGTCTATGCGGAAATCTAATGGAATCTACAAAACAGCCGCTAGAAGTAATAAGTGAGTTCAGCAAGGTTACAAGGTGCCAAGTCAGTATACAGAAATCAATTGTATGTCTGTATACTCACAATGAACAATTGGAAATGGAAGGTTAAAAAAATATTATTTATAATAGCACTAAAAATCATTAAAAAAACAAGTATAAATCTCACAAAATATGTGCTAAATCCATATACTGAAAATGAATGAAAGAAATCAAAGACCTAAATAAATGGGGATATGGGGCTTCCCTGGTGGCGCAGTGGTTGAGAGTGCACCTGCCGATGCAGGGGACGTGGGTTCGTGCCCCGGTCTGGAAGGATCCCACATGCTGTGAAGCGGCTGGGCCCGTGAGTCATGGCCGCTGAGACTGTGCGTCTGGAGCCTGTGCTCCGCAACGGGAGAGACCACAACAGTGAGAGGCCCGCGTACCGCCAAAAAAAAAAAAAAAAAAAAAGGGATATGTACCACATTCATGGATTAGAAGATTCATTATTGTGAAAATGTTGGGTTTTTTCTCAAACAGATCCATATATTCAACATAATCCCATTCAGAATCCTGGCAGGAATTTTTATTTTATTTCATTTTATTTTATTTATTTAATAATTGGCAAGCTGAGTCTAAAATTTATATATAAAGGCAGGAGAACTATAATTTTGGAAAAGAAAAAGTTGGTGGATTCACAGTAATGGACTCCATACTTACCATAAAACTATAGTGATCAAGACAGTTTCCTTTTGTACAAAGGTACAAAGGCATTTCAATAGAAAAATGATGGTCTTTCTCAATAGATCATATTGGAACAGTTGGATATCATATGAGAAAAAAAAAAATGAAGCTTGATGGCTTCCAGAGAAGGCGGCACATGAGCTGGGTTTAAAGTCCTGGTACATTTAAATACAGGGCTGGCATAGCCCTGCCTAGTTGTAGATAGTTGATACAGCCTGTGGAATGAATACATATACTAGAAGCTGGCGCTCTGCTCTAAAAAAATTTTTTAAGGAAACTGATTCATACCTTACTCCATGTGGAAAACTTAATTCAGAACATAAACTATAAAAGTAACTAAGGACTTCCTTGGTGGCGCAGTGGTTAAGAATCTGCCTGCCAATGCAGGGGACATGGGTTCGACCTCTGGTCTGGGAAGATCCCACATGCTGCAGAGCAACAAAGCCCGTGTGCCACAACTACTGAGCCTGCACTCTAGAGCCCACGAGCCACAGCTACCAAAGCCTGCATGCCCTAGAGCCCACATACTGCAACTACTGAGCCCTTGTACCACAACTACTGAAGCCCACACACTCTAAGGCCTGCATGCCACGACTGCTGAGCCCACGTGCTGCAACTACTGAAGCCCGCGTGCCTAGAGCCCGTGCTTCACAACAAGAGAAGCCACCACAGTGAGAAGCCCGCGCACCGCAAGGAAGAGTAGCCCCCACTCGCCGCAACTAGAGAAAGCCCGTGTGCAGCAATGAAAACCCAATGTGGCCAAAAAAGAAAAAAAATAGTAACTAAAACTAAAGTAAGCTAAAACTGTGAATCTTAAACTATAAAATGTCTGAAAGAAAACATAGAATAAAATGTTTGTGACATTGGAGTAGCCAGAAGAATGATCCATGAAAAAAATTTTTTGATAAGTTGACTTCATCAAAATTAAGAACTTTAGCTCCTAAAACGTCACTCTTAAGAAAATGAAAAGAACTACAGACTAGGAAAAGTTGTTTGCAAATTACATATCTGACAAATGAATTGTATCCAAAATATATAAAGAACTCTAAAAACTCAATAATAAGAAAATAAACAACCCAATAAAAAGTGGCAAAAGATTTGAACAGACACTTTACCAGCAAAGATTTATAGATGGCAAATAAGCACACGAAACAGTGCTCAACATCACTAGTCATTAGGAAAATGCAAATAGAAACCCCAGTGAGAGACCACAACACACCTGTTATAATGGCTAAAACAAAAAGGAGAAAACCTGATAATACCAGGTGCTGGTGAGAATGCAGAACAGCTGGACCTCTCAGACATCAGTGGCAAGAATGCAAAACAGTATAGGTGTAAAGGTACACTTTGGAAAAACTCAGTTTGGCAGTTTCTCATAAAGTTAAGCCTACACTTGCCATATGACACAGCAAACTCATACCCAGGTATTTACCCAAGTTTGAGAACTGTGCTGACACAAAAAGTAGGACATGACTATCTATAGCAGCTTTATTCATAATTGAATTATGAATTCATTTGAACTGGAAGCATCAGAAATGCTCTTCAACTGCGAAATAGATAAACAAGCCATTATGACTAGTACTTAGTAATAAAAAGAAATGATTGATACATGCAACAACATAGGTGAAAAATGCATTGTGCTAGGCAGAAGATAGACTCAGACTACATATCATATGATTTCATTTATATGACGTTCTAGAAAAGGCAAAACTATTGGGATGGTACAAATCAGTGGTTGCCTGGGGTTGGGTAGGGGTTGACTACAAAGGGGCACAGGTAATTTTGGGGGGGGGTGATAGAACTGTTCTGTATCCTTTGTTTTTTTTTAATTGGAGTATAGTTGATTTACATTGTTTTAGTTTCACGTGTACAGCAAAGTGAATCAGTTATACATATGCATGTATCCACTCTTTTTTTTATTTAGATTCTTTTCCCATATAGGCCATTATAGAGTATTGAGTAGAGTTCCCTGTGCTATACAGCAGGTTCTTATTAGTTATCTATTTTATATATAGTCGTGTGTATATGTCAATCCCAGTCTCCCAATTTATCCCTCCCCACCCTTATCTCCTGGTAACCATAAATCTTTTTTCTACATCTATGACCCTACTTCTGTTTTGTAAATAAGTTCATTTGTTCTATATCTTGACTGTGGTAGATATATGAGTTTATGTTGGTCAAAACTCATAGAACTGTACACTCAAATGGGTGGGTTTTATTATATGCAAAAAAAAAAAATCTAACTGATGGTATCAGGAAAAGCTTCATAGAATGTAAGATGCCCAAGTCTTAAATGCTTTGAAGGTGTGGACATCCACCCTGTGGACAGTGGGGAGAAGCTCGTTCCAGGCAAGGGGAACAGGATTTGCAAAGACTTAGAGGGAGCAAACAGTCGTGTGTGTTCTGTGTACTTTGAAGTTGTTTGGAAGGTCAGAAGCCTAAAGTTACATAGTGGGGGAGTTGACCAGAAGGCGTTGCTGGAGAAGCAGGCTGGAGCTGAGTTGTGAAAGGCCGTATGTGTTTGGTAAAGAATGTGGACTTGGATTTTTTTTTTTCCCCTTTAGTTGGTGTCCTACAAACTGTCTTACAGTTTGGGCTTCTGTAATAAAGTACCACAGAAATTTCTCTCTTGCAGTTCGGGGTCTGGAAGCCTGAGATCAAGTTGAGATCTGGCGGGAGGGGTACCCTTCTGGGCTGCAGACTACGGACTCCTCAGCCTGTCCTCACGTGAGCGGAGAGCAGGGAGAGGAGACACGCTCTCTCGTGACTCTTAGAAGGGCACCAACCCCATTCATGCAGGCTCCACCCTCATGACTTCGTCTCATCCTAATTACCTCCCCAAAGCCCTATCTCCTACTACCATTATATTGGGGGGCAGGGTTCCCACTTCTGGGGGGGACATAATCATTCAGTCTATAACAGCTGGGAAAATGAAGGGCTTTAATCGGGGGCGGGGGCACTTAGTTTTCGTCTGAAGCATCTCCTCTGGCAGGCCTGGGGACCACACATGGGAAGGGTGAGACCAGGTGGTGATTTGTCACGTCATCAGGCAGGAGGCAAACAAGTCCTGGGCCAGACTAGAGCAGTGGACGCAGGAAGAGGGGTGGACTCAGTGGGAAATGGTGACACCCAGATGACAAAGGTGAAAGAAAGGGGGTAGATGCTAGCGGCTAGGGAGACATTGGAGTTTCTATGCTTGGAGACATCCAAGAAGAACTGGGTTTGAGGGACGTGTAGAGATAATTTTTATCAGTTTGGATTATAGTGAGTTGCTGTATAACTTGAAAAAGTCGACTTGATTTTTCATCGTACTATACGCATCCAGCCTCCAGCAGTGAACCTGAATAATGAGTAAGCTGCCACAGTAGGGTGGGAGTGACACTGGTTGGAACCCAGAAAGCCATGTTGAGGAGTCTGAGTAAGGTGACTGTGGCTGGTACCCATGGGCCCTGTCTGCCCACATCTCACTGAGCAGCTGTGGCCTCTGAATGACTCCCCGCTGTATCAGATTCGCACGTCCAGTGGAGGAGGGATTCGGGGAGGACAGAGGTGCCAGACTAGGACTGGGTATGGCTTAAAGAGGAAGACCTCTCATCCTGGGGGAGGTGGCAGTAGAAGTGGAGAGCCTTTTCCGTGGACGACACGGGTCAGAGCACCCACAGAAATGTTCTGGGGGGAGCTGACTTCTCTCCGAGCCCACGTTTCAGGGAGTGTCTCATCCCCCCCTTACCTGCTGCGGCTTCCTGTGTGTTCTGGGTTGGCTCCTTGCTTGTCTGGACCCTGACTGGTCCTGCCCACATGTCTTTGTTTTGCCGCGCTTTGCTAGACGCCTGGACCGTTTTTAAACCCCACCTTGATCCCTTGTGTTTCAGCCCGAGAGGAAGTTTGGCGTGGTGGTGGTTGGCATCGGCAGAGCTGGCTCCGTGCGGATCCGGGACTTGCAGAATCCACACGCTTCCTCGGCTTACCTGAACCTGATCGGCTTCGTGTCCAGGTGGCTTTCTTTGCTTTGTGCCTTGTAATTCACGGGAAGCCCGGTGAGATGGGTTAGGCCTTGGGCCACGCAACTCCTCCAGACCCAGGAGAGAGCGAGCCAGCTCCAGGGTCGTTCCACGGAACCATGCAGGATCAGCCCCACAAGATCACAAGTTTGGACAGGTCTGGGAACTGAAGAGTAACTAGACCTGCAGCTGGGATGTACAGTGAGTCAGCCCAGCGTACCCGAATAATGAGCGTGACCACCCTCAGCTCCTCTGTAGAGGGGACTGCCGTCAGACGTAGGGAACTTGAACACAGGGCCTGACGGTTACTGAAGGGGCACAGTGAACACATGTGGGTTGTCCTGAATGAAGGCTTTAGGTGTGATACATCAGTTACCATGTAACTGTCACATCAGTTACTATGACAGCCATCCATGCAGGGCCCTGGGCTTTCCAAGCCTGACCAACTATTTGACGTAGATGTCAACCCACTTGACAGATAAAGAAGCTGAGCCACAGAGAGGTTAAGTAATTTGCCTGAGGTCACACAGCTGGAAAAATCCAAGAACTAGACGTCAGCGCAGAACTATCTGATTCCAAAGCCCAAAGCCCATCTTTTAAACACCATGTGTTCTTTTTCCCTTTGATAATTCCGAGCCCCGCTTTTAAGGAGTATCACTTATCTCCTGTAACTCAAAACCAAACTTTTCAGCGCGTTTCTTCTTCCCTGCCCCACCCTCAGCTCCTTCCTCCACCCCGACCACTTCCTCACATACACACCATTCACCAAACTAACGCCGTTCAACATCATTTATCAAGTCATTGGGAACTAGAGGTAGGCCCTGTGTCGGCAGGTGATGCGGCAGAAGGCAAGTCAGGCACGTGTCTGCTTCCTAGTGCTTTAGAGAAATCAACTAAATGTCAATATTTAAACAGAGTGTAAGTAACTGTCCTGACGGTCCACGTAGAAGTTCTTTCAAATTTTAATTTATGGGACCTGCTTTCTTCCAATTTGCCTCTCTCGAAACCTGGCCCTTCCTTAAGGATTTAAAGTGGCGGCACTAAGGTGACCCAGAAGTGCTGGGAATCTGCCCTTGGTCAGTCTTCCCCTCCCAGTAAGATTCTAAGGGAGGGCTTCCCTGGTGGCACAGTGATTAAGAATCCGCCTGCCAATGCAGGGGGACACGGGTTCGAGGCCTGGTCTGGGAAGATCCCACATGCCACGGAGCAACTAAGCCCATGTGCCACAACTACTGAGCCTGCGCTCTAGAGCCCACGAGCCACAACTACTGAGCCCGCGCACCTAGAGCCTGTGCTCTGCAGCAAAAGAAGCCACCACAGTGGGAACCTCGCACACCACAACAAAGAGTAGCCCCTGCTCGCCGCAACTAGAGGACGCCCACGGGCAGCAACAAAGACGCAACGCATCCGAAAATTAATTAATTAATTAATTTTTAAGAAAAGATTCTAAGGGCGCAGCACAAACGGGAGGCTTGACATTACGGTTAGCCGGCACCGTTCTCCTGCTGCTTCCGTGCCTGCGGCTGGGATTGTGCACGACATGGGCTCCGGGCTGAAATGGGGCCTCTGCTCCCCCTGCAGCCCCGCCCTCGGCAGCTGGCGCCGTGACTCTGCAGCGGGAATGCCCAACCCACCCAGGTCCCTCGGGAGGACGGCCAGCTCCCCTCCATCCCTGCTTTACCGCAGCCCTACTGTTATTACACTGTCCCCTTCTCACATGCCCTGTTCCTCACGACCTACCTGCTAAGTCCCGACACCTCCCCGGGAAGCCTCTCCTGAAACCCTGAAACTTGGGGTTCCTTGCCTTGCTTGACTCTTCACCTGTGCCCCCGGCACGGCATTCC